GTAAAGGGTTTTTGCTTCCACGACGACTTCAGAGTCACTGCGAAATGTCTTCAGATTTGCAGAGCTACGATCCCCTGCATTCGGGTGCACCTAATCTTCGGTGCTCACGACTTGTTTTACTTTATGCTTGGATTTTTTTTTTAAAATGGATTTGTAGAAATCGCAAACCCACCCCACAGTTTCCAGTTTTCCACCTTCTACTTCACTCTCGTTGTGCAGAGTTTGCTCCGGTCCAGGACACAAGCTTTCGTGTGTTGTTGTTCTTCAGCTGATCATTATGACTCTAGGTCTTGTTCTTGTTTTTTTTCCTCCTCCTGCTATGGACCATTTAGGGTTTGGATCTCCCGTATGGAACATCTGTTTGTGATCAAATGCTTGAATGCAACTTTTTCTCAACTTTCTGAGACAAAAAGGATTTGTAGATAAAAAGAAAATTCATAATCTCTCGGTTGATTTTTCTGATTTTTATAACAAGTAACAAATATAAGTTGGTCCAGTATAAATTCCATAACAAAGGTTTTATCTCGTCTCTATGAAAGTTTAACAAAATCAATCAATTACAAAAAGTCAAAGAATGCAAACACTTGTTCAAAGAAATAGGAAACAAGTGGTTTTACAACACAACTTTCTTCAAAACCTTGAGCCAAAATCAAATTTAAACACACAATTCTTTGGATGAACCTATTGAGATGGAGATGGACCTCAAAAACGTGACTGCTCTGTGCTTGATGACACTCTTTCGGCTCTAAGAAAATGAAAAAGTGGGACTGGCAAGACTAGAAAATTCCAGAGGAAATGCTTGAAGTTGCGTTTATCTTCAGTGACTGCTCTGGAATGTATCTACGACCTGTCACACATTGGTGTTTTGAGTCATTAAACAGAATCATCTAAACATATTGAAGATTCTGCAATTAGCAGTCATCACTTTTCGAGATTTGGCTTGTTCATATGGATGTTTTCAATGGAAAGAGAGAAACAGTAGCACAAGTGCTTATAGTCCTTTGGTGAGAAGCTAGAGAG